AAATGGCGCTCAGGGACCCAGAGAGCCATTCTGGAATTCTGTGATTAGAGAAGTCTGGGGTCGTACAGGACTAGGTTAGACGACTTGCGTCTTCCAGTTCTTGCTCTGCAACTTACTAGCCTGTGACTTTGAGCGAGGTGTTTAAAATCTCTCCAAGCCTCGCCTTCCTCAAACGTAGATCTGTACTTCACAGGGTCGTTAGGAGGGGTAAATGGAATAAATGGATCAGAGAGCAACTTGTGAACTAAAGAAATATACTCAGAATCCACCTCAAGAGAGTGAGCTGCAATAGCTAGTAAAGAAAAAGAACCACAAATGTAGAAGTGAGTCGTGGCAGCAGAGTGAGCACAGAAGCAGCCCACTATTGTGGTCCAGCTTGGAAAAGAGAGCAGCCCCAGCCCCACACCTTCTCCCACACCTTTCTGCAGAGCTTTAGCGGAGGGGCAGTGAGTGGTCTAGAGAAATGCAAGGCAAGAGCGTTACTGCCAACGAGGCTAAGGGAGGTTGTGCACGCAGGGAGACGTGTAAGGGCTGATGGAGAGCGTGGGAAACACACAGTGCCTAAGGAGACAGCAGGACCACGCGAGAGAAAACGAGACAAAATCTCTACTGCTTCCACTTGCGTGTCCACTTATCAGAGCTCGTTCACGCAATACTGGGCTTGAGGGTACCTCTCCAGAGTGAGGGGGACTGACCGGAAATCTCAGTAGCATCCCTCTGCCAGAGCCGGATTGTCCTCCAGCAGGGGAGCTCCGCAGCCTTGGAGGGCGATTGGCATAATCAGATTAAGTCATTTTCTGTGGTTAAACTTGTATATGAATATAAAGTGTCAGACTGGGCCTCCCATTTCATCAGCCAGTGGATATTTCCAGGATGGCACTTTGTTCCTGAAACATTCAGAAATACGCATATTGTATCTTTAATGAGACTGATACTTAGGGCAGGAGGACGTCTCCCAGCTAGGAAGACTCATTCAAGTGATAGTTGAGTGTCTGACACTTAGAGCTGTGTTAGATGCTGTGTCTGGAGGTGCCTGTTAGCACCAGTTTATTTTATGAAATTGTCAAAGTTGCTCATGCCGCTGAAAGGCCATGGGGCTTTGCTCCTGGCTCCACTATTTGCCAGTGACTGAACTTCTGTGGGACCGTTTCCTTTGTACAAAACGAGAGTGAGAATGTCTGCAACTCAGAGCTGTTTGGAGAATTAAAACTTCCCATGACATGTGACGTCCCATGTAAAGTGCCTGGCAGGCACTGGGTCTCCATGTCTGTATGTCAGGTGCCCTGCTCCATGGTTCTCATGTGACCAGCTTTCTGCTTTCTCTTTAAGCTTTGATGTGGAAAATGGCCCTTCCCCAGGTCGGAGCCCACTGGACCCCCAGGCCGGCTCTTCCTCTGGGCTGGTGCTTCACGCCACCTTTCCCGGGCACAGCCAGCGCAGAGAGTCCTTTCTCTACAGATCAGACAGCGACTATGACTTGTCACCAAAGGCGATGTCGAGAAACTCTTCACTTCCAAGCGAGCAGTAAGTATGAGCTCTGTCTGGCTCCTAGTCTGACACTGACCTTGTCTTTACCCCCATCCCACCAGAGCAGCAACACTGCTCCCCTTTTAGCCCACGGGAAAGAGCGAGAAGAATGAGCATGAGCAGAGGTGACGGCGATGACCGTCTTAAGGACGTGAATGCTCTCCAGCATGAGAAATAAGTAACCGGGGTCCCCAGGAGGGTTCAAAACCTCAGGCTCCGTGTTTGGTTTACTTCTGTTATTGATAGTTTAAAAAAAATTTTTATTCGGCTTTATTTCCTGAATTGCTGGGTCATTTACGTCATGAGAACCTTAACGCTTTTTGCAATTCACTCTCGAACTTTCTGCAGCATGTGTGGCTTGCAGGAGGCTACAGCAGACGAGGAAAATATGATTATTGACATGCTTCCTGTGTGAGTGGCCTTTGCTGGGTGACATTTAATAAGCTGTCATCCCGTCACATGTCTGTGTCGCTTCTATGGAACCTTAACACAATGCCCACTTGTTGCCTGGCTCTTGGGTGACACATAACAGACTCCACCGCCCGAGGAAGCATTCCTGATGTTTCTGTTTTGCTGCTGTTAATTGTAGATCTCTGATTTTTATTTAAAGAACAATAACTGGGTTGTGTTTCTTGTTTACTAAGTTTCTGAAATCAAATAAAATTGGACGCTGGAATTCATGCCTTAAAACGTTTCTGGGCACACGTGCAATTGTTTTTAACACCATATGTTATAAAAATATCAGTAGACTCCCTAAAGTCTTCAGCCTGGAAAATTCCACTAGGCTCTCTTCCGCTGCTGGAAAAGAAACTAATAAGGGTCACCCCCTTGGGAAAGGGGCAGGGGGCATTTTAAAGCAACTGGTAAGAAAATATTCCCCAGGGCATTTCTGCCAGCAAATTTTAATAGACGCATCCCTGCCCCATAATGTCTCAATCACTGGGTGGGCCAAAATTCGTTTATTCAGTCACTTGGCAAATCTGCACTGAATCTCTCCTCTGTGCCATGTGGTGTGTCGGGCTCTGGGCATTAAAGATGAACGAAACAGTGGATAAAAATCACAGAGGAGTTAAAGACAGATATTATTCTCAAAAAGGCTGCATACCCTCAGGGAGGTTACAGTTAAGTAAGAAAGAGAAGAGGGGCACTCTGCTAGTGTGTGAAAGGAAGCATTCCATGAGTGTCTCCCACGGGGCCCCGTTCATTGACGTATGTTCTTTCTCTTCATCTTCACAACAGTCCTGTCAGGCAGGCGCCGTTGTTGTCCCCCCTCTGTAGGCGATGAAACTGAGACTCTGAGAAATTGACAGACCTGCCTCTATCCAGTGACTCTGTGCCACGCTCCATCCTTTGATGTAGCTAAGACAGACCCTATGCCAAACTTCTGGACTCTATTTGCCTTATGGTCTTCAAACTGCAAAGTGGAATCTCTGCTATCAGGTAGAAAGCATGAATTCAGCGTAGAGGTAACCACTTTGCTGTGGAAAGTGTAGAACCCAAGAAGTTTCTGACCAAGGTTCGGATGGAGGCTTTGACGATGGAATTCTCTCCTCCACCAAAACAAACCCCTTTCTGGACTTCCTCGGGGGAGAGCACAGGAGCCGTGGCGAGCTGAGAGTGGTCAGAGCTCCACGCACGTGATGTGTATCACGGCGGGGAGGGTAGCTCTGGAGGGCAGCTAACAGCTCCCCCAAACTCGGGGTCACTCAGAGGCTTCCCGGAAGGTGCTAACCAAATTTCAGATTAAACTCTGGCGATTCCTTATTTAGAATCAAAAGGTTATAGAAGTTTTGCTTTTGAAGAGACTTAAAAACCACGGTCCACTCGGCCCAGAGCTGTAGACACAGGTATCTAGTTCTGAGTGACTCTGCATCCAGGCTCCCTAACACCCAGAGTTAACCGGTTTTCAATTTTAACAAAGATTTCCCGTAACTTTAGAACCTACAGAGTGTTGCCAACTTTAAATTTATGCCAATAAGGAATATATGTGTAAGTTAACTAGTATCAATCTCACTTAAAAAAAAACGTTAAAAAATTTAATAAAGGAGTAAGGGAACACTTTCATTGTAAAGAATAGTCCTTCCTTCGCAAGAAAACACAGTTGGCAGGGTAATCTCATCCTGTCAAAGACACTGATAACAAGATAGACTAGAATCTTCAAGTGAATAAAAATAGCACCAAATTCTGTTTTGCGAAAATTTCAACAGTGCAGTACAATTTTCATATATTTGCCGGTTTAGGGATTTATATTTCTCAACACAACAGGAAATAGAACTTGACTATCCTGATTCTTCTGGAATTTTGTTGTATCAGGACCTTGTTGGAAAAATCCAGTTTTATACGTGGATCTTGAGCTAAACTAAAGTCATGCTCTCAAGGCTGTTTCACCTGCTTGTTACTCTTCAGGATGACTTGAAATATGCAGAGGGACAGCAGCCTGTGAGCCTCTTACTGCTTCTCCTGTCTTCTACCCTTAAAGCCAAATAGAAGGGACAACAGTAAGTCCCGACTCTGGATGCGAAGGCTGTTGGGTGGAGGCTGTGGCATGTTCCCTCGCATCCAGCGCCGAGCAGTCACGAATTTACATAAGAGGTGGGAAACTGCATAATTCCTCGGCATTAAATCTTAACAGTAGAGATAACACTAGCTTTTTAAAATTCCTTATCTGAACTCTTTCAGGAGGCAAAGTATAAGCAGAGAGAGTGAGTGAAAAGATACTAAGGATACAGAATGTGAACAGAAAATTAAAAGTGGTTTTTACAACAACCAAAGAAAGATTGGAATAAGACTTTCTAGTAAAGAAAACAAGATCACCGTTGGATCCCAGAGGAAATTTCAGATGCTTTCAGATGTGGCAATATTCTGCTGGCTTCTGCTCACTTCCTGTGGTGTAGTCATCCTTAATGGAATCCCTTTGTATACCAAGATTTCCCAACGGGAACATGAAGTCCTGGAAACTGGTGAGGCTGGTTTTGTTGCCCCAAACTGTGGCAGGAACCACCCTGGACAGGACCAAGTTTTGAGTATCCACCTGCAAAGCCACGGGGAAGGAAGATCCCTTTTCCTGCTATTTGGTCATACCATTTGCAAAGGCTTACATAGACAAGGAACTTTTTAAAGCCACCATTTGCATAAGGACTAAGTGGTCTCTAGAGAGAACAGTCAAGAGACATGAGACCTGAGAACCAAGGGGAAAAGCAGACAGAACAGCCCATTTAAATTTAAGACCCATCTATTGGTGGACGACCAAAAAAGTATCATGTGATGTCTAAGCCTTGAGTTAAGCTCACAGCCATCATACTTACTGGCTTTAAGACAGTGAATCTCTGGTAGTATCTTAATTACTTGCAAATAAAAGTACACATTTGTGAAGCATTTCCTATGTGCTATTTAACACACTGTACATATTTTAATTCATTTAATCTCCATAACCCTAAGAAAGTTGGTGCTATAATTTTCTTGTCTTAAAGATGAGGACATTGGAGCACAGAGAGGTTAAGTAACCTGCCCAGGAAATGGGGGAGTCAAGGCTTAAATCCAGGGAGTCTAGATGATTAAACCATATGGATATCCATACATGAACAGACTCTAAATGATGAAAAATAAAAATAATGATATTAATTTCTGCTCTGCTTACCTTTCCAGCTGTTAGGAAGATTATATTCATTCTATCTTTTAACAAAAATTTACTTACATTTAGGCACTTGGCAAGCAAGACATTTTCTATGTCTTTAAGGGAGCTGAAAGATTAATAAGTCAACAGGCAGTGGTCATACTTTTGGATGAGTGCAATGGTAGAAAGGTACACAGAGGACTTCGATGAGAGAGCTGGCCAGGAGGGGCTGGCAGCCCTCTTTGAGGAGTGACAGCCAAGCTAGAGGAGTTAGCCGGGCAGAAGGGTGTGCGGGAGGGAGGGCTCGGTGTTAACTCACTCTCCAGTCGTCAGGAGCCTGTGGGGAACCACAGCTCAGTATGGCTCAGGCCAAGGATGTGAGGGGATGAGGAAGTGGAGAATGACGAGGCTAGAGAAAAAAGTGGGGCTCATGTCATGAAGAGTCTGTGCTGAGGAGCTGGCCTTTATGCTGCAGGCAAGCAGTGGGGAGCTCCTAAAGGCTTTTAAGCAAGAAAATACACAATCAGACCAACGTTTTTGAAAGATGGCTCTGATTCCAGTCTGAAGAATGGTTTGGAGAGTGGACAAGCCTGAAGACTAGTCTCCAGGAGTCAAATGGGAGACTGCCTTGGTAATCCACATAGTGAAGAATCGGCATCTGTGTTAGAGCAGATCCAGTGGGCAGTTAATGAACATTTGCAAGTTAGGATCAGTAAGGGTGGGTGGTTGACTGTGGGGTGAGGGAGAGGGAGGTTTGGGACTTGACCAACAGGACAGGTGTTTGCACCATTTCTTAGAGTCAAGAACATTCTCTTATCCCATGAAATAAGGTACATGAAGATGCTATGTAGAGTACATTATAAATAGTAGTTCCTTGATTATAATGGGACAGAAATGGCTACGCTAAAGAAGTTCTCACCAGCTGGGAAGACAGGCATGCAATTCTTTAATTATGATAATATGACACCCAGTGCTAATACGATACCCACAGCTACATAACTAAAATGCTTTTATGTGCCGAGCACTGTTGTCAGAGGTGTACACACTTTCTCACACATTCTCACAACACCCCATTTTACAGATGAAGAAACTGAGGCATGGGGAGGTTGCCTAACGCCTCATAGTGAGTAATAATGCGACTGAGGAACAAACCAGTGCTGTCTGGCTCTAAACGCTGTGCTCTTAACTGCGGTAGTATACGTCTCTCTCTAAGACAGACCAATATCAGTGTTATGAGAAAAGTCCAAGTAAGATTCTACATGTGGGTATGAAACAGAGAAGGGTGAAATTTTTTAAAAAATCCAGAGTGTAGCAGGAGGAAGTAGCATTTTTGCTTTCCAAAATATTTAGAGGAGACCTATGCTCAGTTCTGCGATCCACAGAATGCTTATCTCCAGTTATTCTATAAAACTGTAGTGTGCTGGTTTTGCCACTAGATGGTGCCCGTTCCATGGTTCTGAATATCTGGCCTTGTCCCTAAGACACATTGTCCTTGCTAGTGGTTTGGGAAACTTAAGAATTACGTCAGTTTTCATAACCAATCAGACGTTTTGTTACCTTTGTGCCATTTTATTCTTAATTATTAAAATATCAAATTATGATTTTTTTTAATTTAGAGTAGTTTTATAATTAATACAGCTGTACTCAAATAGGAGGGTGTTTTTTTTTCCTTTTCTTTTCTGTACTTGCTATAAACTATCTATAAATTATCTGATCATTTCTCTAGCAGCTACTGTGTGACACACATTAGCTTTTGCAGCTCAGATTCTTTAAGGGACCCAGTGCTGGGGATCTGCAAGTTCATTTCTTGCCTCTGAATGTTCTGCTCTCCTAAATTTCAAGTTTCATAATGATCAAGTCACTTTGACGTGGTACCCTCTCTTCATGTTTTGGGGGCTTTTTTAGCCTCCCTTAATCATTAGTTTGTACAGTTTTAGTGACTCCCCTTCATGCAACAGTACGTCAGCTTTAGGTGCTATGCATGTATGAGGTTTGCTTGCATTATTCAACTTCTGTTGGGTATTTAGACTCCAGAAATGCAAGTGCCACAGATGATCTATTTAACTCTGACCTTATCCCCAACTCACTCTGAAGTCTTAAGAACAGTGTGAACTTCAGAGCAGAAATCTGAACAAGTAGCAAGACATTCCCCCATCAAAGTTCATCTCAGAGAGCTAGCTTGAGAAGGGGCAGCTCTTTTAACAGCTGACCACCCTGCGTTTATCCCAACTGCTCCCCTCTCCACCCTTCATTCTGTCTCTGGTTGTGGCTCCTCTCCAAGAACGCTCAGGTTCTTCCTTTGACTTTCTCTATACCCCCACCTTAAGAAACCACTCCCCGCCATTGCTTTAACAGTCCCCACTATCGTAGGTAACTCCAAAATCTGTAGCTCTAATTCCCATATTTCAGTGTCTTCCCACTTGGTGTTTCCACCGGGGTATCAACGGGGATCTTAAAACTCAACACGTGGGAAAGTGACACATCTCCTCCCATTTCTCCTCACTTTCTTATTTCTACTCATGACTTCGCTATTTTCCCAAATACCCCATTTTTAAAACTGGAAATATATTTCTTTATGACCCCTTACCTAATTAAAGGCCGAGTTTTTGGCAAGACAGCCAGGGTTTCTCCCAACTGTCTTTTCCTGCTCCTTCTCTGCCTCACCAGTTTCTTCTCATCTGGAGGTCCCCCCGCCTGTGCTTCCTGACTCTGTCCTCTGTCCCACCGTCTCTCGGTGTCCACAGCATTTTACTTTCCAGAGACTTTTCTGTTTGCCTTTCTCACTAAAAACCTTCACTGGCTAATTTCTCCCACTGAGTTAAGCCCCAACTCCACAACCGTTGTCCACCCTGCCCATAATACAGGTGTGGAGAACCATCTAGTCTTATCCTCTACAAATGCCTATAACGTGCTCAGCTCCACACACACAGCAGCCAAGCATCTCAGTGTCCAGTCCTTTCCCATTTCAGTGCATTTCTCTCATTAGGAGCATCTACCACCCAGGCCTTCTAACGCCCGCCTTTCAGAGTTCATCTCGAACACCGCCCATCAATCAAGCCTTTTCTACTTTGTCTGCTCTGTAACCATCACTTCTCCTCTGCGCCCCGTTAAGTATGCATTGTTAATCTTTCTCATTCTGTAACATCTATTGTTTTGAGTTTTTTTCTGTCTCCCCTATTATGTTTTAATTTGGGGGGGTCATGAATTCTGTATAAGTCAATCAATCATGTGAGGTCAACATAAAATAAGAAACATAATGGTTAAAAGCACAGATTTTTGGAATCAGTCTCAGTTCTTCCACTTTTTAGCGACGTGCTGGTCAAGCATTCGCTTGCCTGCTCTGAGCCCTGGTGTCGTCCATGAAATGGGAATAGGAGTGGTTGCCTCAAGTCTTGTTACAAGAATTAAACGCGATTTCACCCAGGGCCTGACACGTGGTCATCACTCAAAGAACGCTCACACTTGTCAGTGGTCTCTCTCCAGCCACTGAGTCACTGCACAAAGCGGGCGCGCAAGAAGTTTACGAGATTAAATTGAAGGGGGACTTCTAGCTAAAGATACAGTTGGAGAGGAAACTCTTCTCTGAAGCAAGACCCCAAAGTGAAGCCTGTGCTAGAGAAGGGGCCCACAGGGACAGGGGTGGTGTTCGGCTCCGGACCCCAGGCCTCACGTGACGCCTGGTCCTGGGCAGGGGACTGCTGACCACTGGTTGCACTCACACAGCTGGCGAACAAGGTGCCCCATTTGTGTGGCGATCGTGAAGACAGAGAAGATGATCAGACAGTGACGGAAACTCACGGTCAGCCACCTTCTGCGCGGCTGTTAGGATTCACGCTGTGGTAGCAAACTGGCCTGATCTGGGGTCTTCAGCTCAGCCCAGCTTGTCTACTAAAGACCCTGATAGAGAGCTTGCTGCCTGTGGGCTTAAGAAGATTTATCAGAGCGTATGCCAGAGAGAGGATGCATTTCGGAAAATATACTTTTGCCTCTTCTTAAGTGCAGATGTATGAAACGCTGGATTCAGCTTGATCAGATCTCTGGGACAGAGAGACAGTGATACAGCGATAGTAGGTTTAGTCCCTGTCCTCCCTTAAAAGCTTTTCCTTGGGTACTTTAAGAAAAAAGTTACATTAAAAACAAAAGGTAATGGGATTCCCAGACAGAAATATGCGTTTAAATGGCATCGAGGCTGTGGTTCAAATCAACAAAAGCCAGGAAATCCAAGGGTAACCTTTATCCAGCTGTTAGGACATTTTTTCCTACTCTGTGTGTGCCTGTGAGCAGCCCTCCCTTTGAATTTCCTGGCACTGGCAACCAAAATCCACAAGTCGCTTTGAATTACAGTCCTTTAGGTCTGCCGTTTAATGGGAACATACCCTGAAGATATATGCCTACCTGCAACTGCTTTTATGTGTAGCCACTGTACACCCAGGAGCCATGAACCTGGTAGTTTTTTGGTTTTTTTTTTTTCTTTCAAGTTCCTAAGATCCCCATCTGCGACTAGGTCAGTCCTGCTTTAGATCCAGGTAGAAAAACTTATTTAACATTTGTGTTGCTCACCCTGATAAAGTTTACTATTACAGCTTATATGTCACAGTTATCATTCAAATGCAGTTGAAAGTGTTTCTTTTCTCTCTTTTCACCAGACACGGCGATGACTTGATTGTAACGCCCTTCGCCCAGGTATGTGCCATGCTGGCCTGGCTCCCTCTCACTCTGCCCCTGGGTGCAGTTTCTAAGTGTGGCGCCGACCCTGCCCGCTCGTCTCCTTTTGTCCCTAACCACGGAAACATTTTCCTTCTAGGTCCTCGCCAGCTTGCGAAGTGTGAGAAACAACTTCACCGTACTGACAAACCTTCATGGAACATCCAACAAGTAAGTGTGCATCTTCTGTGCAGTTATGAATCCCTTCCATGATGGCAACACACTAAACTGCACTGAGAAAAAAAAAAAACTACTGCATGGAGATTTGCCCCCTAGCTAGGTTAGGAGACAGTATAAAATTTGAAAGTAGGATGGAACACTATAGTATTTTAGAACTGGTAAGATGATAGAAATTAGTCCAGATCTTGTTAATCTTTGTACCTTTGACCCTTAGTAAACAGGAGTTCGACAAATGAAAGAATGAGGTGTTTTGTTTGTATTTACTACTTGAATGTATGAATACCCATCAGTAAGGGCCATAAATGCTGTTAAATTTTTATTGGAATAAGCTATTAATGAGATATTCAGAGATTTCAAGTTTAAGATGACAAGTACCAAAAGTTTAGGTCCAATGTGCCTATTTTTGGGTGATATGTAAACAGGTTCTTGCAATTTGAGGAGTAAGAGCGGGGTTATCTTCTCTCCTGTCCCCAACTAGCTACATAAACTTGGCCGTTTCAACTAACGTGGCTGAACCTTGGCCTCATCTGTAAAATGCAAGATGTGCACTTGATAATCCTGCAGTAACTCTGTCCTCTGAAATGATTTCAGCCCGTGAGTCTCAGTGCTGGTCAGATTGCTCTCCAGCAGTTTAAAATATCATCCTGGGGATCAGAAGGTCACAGAATCAAAGATCCTGGAATGGTAGGGCCAGAGGAGAACTCTGAGACCACTGATGCAGCCTCTTTGTTTCACAGAAGGAGAAAGCAGGCCCTCAGAAATCCAGCAAGTTGCTAACAACCACACCACAGGTTAAAAACGCCCCAGGGCCAGATCCTAAATCTCCTGACTTCTCTAAGCTAGTGCTCGCTATAGCACCCCTCGCGTCTCCAGTCTCTGTGAAATTACCTATCAACCCTCTATCTTGCTTTCATCCAAATCTTTTATTGAGTGGAGTTGTTACAAGTGAGAGCAAAGCCTGCTTTGAAAGCGTACTTTCCGTTTCACTGTTCTGTAACTTTTGCCTGAGCTTCCTGGGAGAGGGCCCTGCCTGCCCCCGCCGAGTTTTTCCCACCGTTGGTCTCTCCTCCTCCAAACTGTTCTCCAGACTGCCCCCAGAGTGCTCTTTCTCACCTGCTGTTTGACCATGTCCCTCTCCAGCTTGAGGCCCTTCAGTGGTTCACTCTTATCATTAAGATCAAGTTCAAATGCGGGTGCTTGGCCCCCAAGGCACCTCCTGTTCCAACTCGAGTTAGATCGCTGATCGGGCTTATGTTGGATGCAGTCCACAGGAAAGCTCCAGGCTTGCCCAGCCTCTTTTGCAGTGGTGCTCCCTGTTTTATTCATTTATTAAATAATTCACTCAACGAGTATTTACTGAGTGTACTATTCATTCACGCGTGTACGTGCGTACGTACCAAATATGTATTGAGCACTGCCTTATACCAGGAACTGATGATAGAACAGTGACCGAACCAGACAAGTTCTCTGCCCTTTCAGGGCTTACATTCTAGCAGGAAGCGCCAGGGCCTCCAGCGGTGTACGGTCAGGCCAGGTGCCTGGCCACACGGGATCACAGTCTAACAGTTGTGGCCTGATTGCTCCCTGCGTGTTCGAGTCTCTATCCTAATTATGGACTCAGTGTTCTCGCTCCCTAAAGTGTCTCTCTCCAGCTGCCAGTGATTGCCCAGCTGAATCCTATTTGTCTTTTATAACGCACCTCTGGCGTCACCTTCACCAGGATGCTTCCCCTGAGCCCGCCGAGCCTGGCTGAACGCCCCCCCCCCCCGTGGCCCCAGGGCACTCTGCAGATCATTTCTGGGTCTCTGTCACCACCAGACTGCGTGACACCCGTTAAGGCCCCTTGAAAATTGCATTCACTTCTACTTGACTTTGTCAGGATTAGCAGAATGCCTGACACAGTGTGTGTGCACCCCAAGCATTCATCACACATATAAATCTCTGAATTAATAATTGTTGAAGAAAGACCACAAGTTGTCTAGAAAATTATTTTTTTCAGACGTGATCCTTTCTCTTTCCCCACCTTTTTTTCTTTACAGAATATGACTTCTGGGCCTTATTTACTTGCCTCACAACTAAATTCTACCAATCGAAAATTATGTGACTTGAGCAAGTGAGTTAACCTCTCCAGAGCTTGGTTTCCCGATTTGTAAACTAGGGTTGTTCGGAGGATGAAGTGAGTTGATATTTGTGAAGCATTTAGAGCAGCGCCTGGCACGCAGTAGGTGCTCAGTAAATGTGAGCTAGTAGAAGTGATCATTACATTTCTCTTGCTGAATCCATAAATGGGGTCACACTTGGGAGTTTTCAAGTCTGTTATCTCAGTCATCATCACCGTAAGTGATATATATGACAGGCATGTTGTCCCCACTCTGAGGACAAGCAGCAAAGCTCAGAGAGCTTAGACGCCAAGTGCAAGAACGTCTCACTTCTGGGGATGAGCAGGGCCAGGCTTGAAACCTGGTATCCTGGCTCTGTTTTGCAGGGCTCAAACCCAGCTCTTCCCTCCCATGTTTGTCTTCCCCGTGTGTCTCTCTTACTACCTACACAGAGCACTCCACTGCTGACACTTCTGGTCACCAAATATGGGGACGTTTTTCCCCGTAGCAACAAGCAAATGTCTGACATCAGCTGGGTATCCTGCAATTTCACTCGGTCCTGACACCATCTACCCGGAGGTAGCATCAGATCCCACAGGTCAAGGGCTCAGTCCCACAAGCCTGCCCGCCTCCCCTGCCCCACTTCAGACACCAGCTGCAAGCGCAAGTTATTATCCGTATTCCTGGTCCACCAGCTAAAGCGTCTAATGACTGCCTCCTCAGGCTTGATAAATTTGCTCAAGCAGCTCACAGGGCCCAGGGAAACACTAAGTGATGTCTACCAGTTTACTAAAGGATGTGATAAAGGATACAGGTCACAGCCAGATGAAGAGACACACAGGGCAGAGTCTGGGAGGGCGCCGAGGGCAGGAGCTTTCTGCCCCACAGGGTTGCGGTGCGTCACCCTCCCGGTGTGGTTCTGTTCGCCAGCCTGGAAGCTCTCTGAGCCCCATACTGTCAGGATTTTATGGAGGCTTCTTCACACAGGCATAATCAATTATTAATTCCATCCCTATACCCTCTCTCCTCACTGGAGGATGTGGGATAGAGCTGCGAATTCTAAGCTGCTAATCACGGCTTAGTGTTCTGGTGACCAGCCCCCACCCAGGAGCCATCCAGGACCCCACCCAGAGTCATCTCATTAGAACCAAAGATGCTCCTAGTGCTCTTTTTACTTAAGAAATTACAGGGGTTTTAGGAGCCCTGTGTCAGCAAGCCGGGGCAGACACCACCATATGTATTTTCTGTTATCTCACATCTTTCCACTGACGACACCTCTTAAGTCTTCTGGGTTATGGGGCAAAATCTCTGAAGGCTTTGGAACAGAGTCATTTAGGAAGACCTTATGGGATTACTGAAGATCAGAGGGCCTGAAGCAGAGACATGAGCTAGAGGAGTGTTTCAGAAATTAAGATATGAAGAGTAAAACCCTGGACTAAGATGATGGAGGTGGTAACCGGGGAGCAAGGGATTAATAAGGAGATATTTCAAAGGCTTCTTTGGCATGGCAGACTCAAGGCCACTACACTGCACAGTTCCAGGGAGAAGGGGGCGGGTGGTGACGTGGCAGGATGTTTTCAGTTACTGGTTTATTAACATGGCTTGGAGGTTCTTCCTCTGTTAGAGTATCAGGGGAATTCAGCCTATCCCTGCTGATAAATAGGCTGTCAGCTAAAGCTACTTTCTGGAGAATCAGATTTTTCCATAGCCTTAGGAGTTTTGAGCCACATAAACGTTCATTGCTGACATACACAGAGTTCACCCAGAGCCAATTCTCACTCTCTGGCTGAGGACCGCCCTCCAAATCATGGCGGTTCATGTCACCTCTGGTCCAAACCTCACTTACCAAACGTAATAGCTCTCCAGCAGTAGGACGGCTGCCTCTAATGATCATTCCCAAATCCAGACCC